TCAGGAATTCTGGGAGTTGAAGTCCATGAGTCATAAAAGAGACGAGGTTACCTACCCCTGAGCTTGTGGACAACAGCTTGAAGCTTGCCAGGTGAGCAGCAGATAGGAGAGGGGGGGAGAGAAAGAGAGAGAAAGAGAGAGAGAGGGAGGGAGGGAGAGAGAGAGAGAGAGAGAGGAAAGAGAGAGAAAGAGAGGGAGTGGGGGAAGAGGAGTGGGAGACCAAGGGCAGACAGAGAGGGAGGGAGAGAGAGAGACACAGAGAGAGAGAGAGACCCTTTTGACATCTAAAATGAAGATAACACTGCATATATCCTTTTTTTAACCTGTGTGTGTGTGTGTGTGTGTGTATGTATGTATGTGTATACACACACACACACACACACATACACACACACACACACATACACACACACACCTATAATAAAGGTAAAAAAGGATATATGCAGTGTTATCTTCATTTTAGATATCAAAAGGGTTTTGCGGCTCCCGGTGTTTTGTTTTTGGTGGGAAACGGGTCCAAGTGGCTCTTTGAGTGCTTTGGGTTGCATACCCCTGACCTAGCAGAAGGCCTTCTAATGCTTCCAAAGTTCATTATCTGAAACAAATAGTTCTCCAGCATGAGGATGGATAATCCACGGATTGGGTTTCCTGAAGTCCCTTCTACCCAATTAGACTAAGTCTGAGAGATAGCCACGCCTCTTGCTAGGTCATGTTTACCCAGTTCCGACTTAGTCATCACCCAGACAAGACGCATTGATGATTATCTCCAGACTCAGGTTATATTAAAAAATTTGTTTTTCCCTTATTTCCTATCTGTGGATTATCCTTCCTTTCCCCTTTAGTTTCTCTTCAGAACGCTGACCTTTTCTGGGCTTTCTTCCCTTAGTTCCACCCCTCCCCTCTGCCTCCCTATTACTTGCCTTCCGTGGCTATTGCAGCCTCAGCACGAGGCTTGTTTTTTCTTTTTTTCCGTTTGGGTGATCAGGGCTTTAGGGAGCTTGCAGCCTCAGTGTTCAGTCTTCAACCTCGGTGTTCAGGGTTTTAGTTAGCTTGCAGCCTCAGCACGAGGTTATTGTTCACCTTCTGTGCTTAGGGCTTTAGGGAGCTGCGGAGTCTTCTGTTCGATCCAGCTGGTCGGAGGATTGCCGCGGAAGCCCAGGACGATGGCAGATCGTCCCAGGCTGCTGGAGTCTCGGCAAGAGGCTTATTTCTTTTGTTTTCGGGGCTTGGAGGAACTGCGGAGCCTAATGGAAGCCCCGAACGACAGCTGATCGTCCGGACTTGTACCGGACGATCGTGGCTACCGGCGAGTCACCACGTGGCTGGCGGCCGCCATTTTGTTTTTTGGGCCTGGTCCCCTTGCATCATGGAGAGTCACGTGGAGGCTGATCGCCACATGGCTGGCGGTCACCATTTTGGAGGAAAAGTTATCGCACAGTTTTTTTGTTGTTTTTTTCTCAACTGCATTGGTGAGAAACTAAAGAAAGATTTGTCTTTAAATTGACTTTTCTGATCTTATTGAGTAGCTGGAACAGCCTCCCCCCCCTTTCTGGGGAGGGCCGAACTAGTGCAGACAATCTCCAAGCACATTTCCCCACCCATATCCACTTGTCATTGCCTCTGGCAATATATTGCAGCAGTATAGTTTGAATTGTCGTTCATTGGGAGTTAGATTCTCTACCCCTGCTACTTACTTAGAACCTATTTACCACATACTGGTTTCACCAGGTTTTTTTGCAGTACCACTCTGGGCCTCAGCTCCTAGCCTGTTTCAGACCCATTCTCAGACTTGTGCTGAAGGGTCTCACACCTAGATCCTTTGCAAGGAGCCCATACTGATTTTCCAGACCTTACTGCCTGGTTCAACCCATTCTCAGACTTGTGCTGAAGGGTCTCAGGCCTAGCTCTTTTGTAAGGAGTCCATACTGGTTTTCCAGTCTTTATTACCTGGTACAACCCATTCTCAGACTTGTGCTGAAGGGTTTTTTTTCAGGTCCTACCTACTGTGCCGAGAGCCCATACTGGTTTTACCAGTTTTTCTACTGTTTTTTACCTTAGAACTTTGCCTCCTACCTTTCTTAGACCCATTCTCAGACTTGCGCTGAAGAGTCCACAACGTGATGGCTGAAGACAAACAGCCTCAACTGGTTCTGGCACCCACCAGTCCTCCAAGTAAAAGGAGACACAAATCTCCAAAAGTGGAGGCAGCCGGCAAGGTCAAAGCAAAAGCAAAGGCCTGATCTGGGAAAGCACCATCCAAGACAGCGGAAAAAGAGGCTGCTAGGAGACATCAGGCCATATCCAAGGCTCAAAAGACAGCTCCATCACAACAGGTGCAAGCTGCATCTGAGAGTTCTGAGACCTCTCCTTTCAGTCCTCAGGTAACCACAATTACACAGGTTCACAGGCCATTGTTTCCAGAGGATGGATCCCAATCTAGACCTATTAGTCCTATGACATCTAATCCTAGTCCAAGCTGGGGGGCTTTCCTGCTTAATCCTCAACCTACTCCATCAGCCACGTTCATACCCACGGCCACTGGCCTCCGCCCTGAGTCTTCATAGACAATTGCGCCAGAGCAACTGCAATCCATGCTCATGCAGGTATTAAAGAGTATCTCATCCCAACCCCCGGCATCCTCCCATCATCGGTCCACCACCCCTGAATATGCCTATTCCATTGCTTCCGATCAATCCTCATTGATGGGGATTCTTATTCGGAAATTGATGAATCACGGGGGACAGCTTTATCAGATGATGAGGATGCTCCTCAGGAACCCTCCCCTTTTGTAGGCCTCTTTGATCCCACTCTTTTCAAGACCATTCTAGCCAAGGCCATGACCACATCCCAGATTGCCCCAGAGCCAGATCCACAACCCACCCCTTCCACCAGTCAGTCTTCAAATCCTCTGTTTGCTGAGCCCACGGTGACTCAAAGACATATCCCTTGTTCTCCATTCTTTGCCAACACAGTAAGGAAACAGTGGATCAATCTTGGGGCCTCTCCTGTCCCAGGGTCCTCTGACAAAAAGGTGTTTAGTATGGCACCATCCTTAACTAACCTTCTGGAGGTCCCGACTGTGGACACATCCCTTACTCCCATTTTTTCAAACTCCACTATCGCTGGAGATATGGCAGAGGCATTAAAACTGGAGGACAGGAAATCTGAGTACGCACTATGAAGGGCGCATCAAGCATCAGGGTGGGCAGTAAAGGCTCCCATGTCAGTCTCTTTCTTCTCATGATCTTCTATCACTTGGCTCCAGGAGCTTCAGGGCATGATCCCGCAGGATCAGGTACGCGCCCATCAAATGTTGGGTAAGTTATTAGAGGCGGTGGAATACAACGGCCGATGCCACGTTATATGCCACCAGATTTTCAGCCAGGGCGATAGCAGCCAATGTTTCTACCAGGCGGCTGCTTCTGGCTGAAACAATGGCAGGCGGATTTAAAATCCAAAAGGTGCTTGGCCATCACTCCTTACTCGGGTAGAAAATTGTTTGGGGAAGCCCTGGAGCCATACTTGATAGAAAACAAGGATAAGAAAAAGGTACTTGTTCACCAGGCCAGGCGATCGGACAGAAAGTCTGCTCCCTTTTATCGCAGACAGGGATTCCGGGGCAACACCCAGGGTTCTAACTGGTCACAACCCACACATTCATTTCCTCCCAGATCGGACCGTCAAATGGAACATTTTGCCCCAAGTCCAGGTAACAACAACAGCAGTCTAAGCGGCCCTTTCGGGGCATGGGGGGCCATCCCTATTGGAGGAATAAGTGACTCCAGGGAGGGACCCTCCATAGGCGATTGGCTCTCCCTATTCTCTCAGAACTGGGGGAACATTACCACTGATGCCTGGGTCTTGCCCACCCTCACCAAGGCCTGACCTTAGAGTTTCTTTCAAAACCAGCAAATTGATTCATTTCTTGTCTGACACCTTCAAACCTGTCAAAATGGGTCCTCATGAAGGAGGCCATTTCCCATCTCATCGAAATAAAAGTGATAGAACCGGTCCCTCCCGATCAGAGGGGGTGAGGGCTTTACTCAATACTCTTTATAGTTCCAAAGACCTCGGGAGGATGGAGGGCCATTCTGGATCTAAAAAGGTTAAATTCATACCTGGTATACAAAAAATTCAAAATCTAGACCCTGCAATCCATTTTGGCCAGCATAAGAAGGAACGACCTCCTGACGTCCATCGACCTCACAGAGGCGTACCTACATATCCCAATATTTCCACCACATCGCAGCTTTCTCAGATTCTGCTACAGATCTTATCACTATCAATACAGAGCACTTCCGTTTGGCCTTTCATCCACCCCGAGGGTATTCACGAAGATCTTGTCAGTTCTGGCAGCTCACCCCAGACTGGATTCCATTCGGATCCAGTATTATATGGACGACATCCTCATTCAATCAGTGTCGGTCCAGGCTGCGTGGTCGGAGGTGGCTTGTACAATAGAGGTGCTCCAGAACCACGGATTCTTGGTGAATTTTCTCAAAAGCCAACTGATTCCATCCACGTGGCTCCTTCATCTGGGAGCAGTGATAGATACAACACACTGCATGGTCTACCTGTCACCAGATCGCATAGCCAGTCTCAGGGCCCTTGTCTGCCAGGTGCAATGCTCCAGGACAGTTCCGTTTCTCACTCTCTCCCAGCTCTTAGGCAAGATTATCTCTTGCATCGACATCGTACCTTGGACCAGACTACATTCGAGAGCCCTTCAGTGGTTCCTCCTCCCCTTTCAGAGGCGAAAGTTAACATCCTCCAACAGGCAGGTGAGGTTGACTTCTCTGGTATCAAGTTCACTCCAATGGTGGAGTTCTCAGGCCATCAACAAAGGCTTGAAGTTCAGAGAGCCATCACGGATCGTGCTCACCACAGACGCCAGTCTCTTTGGTTGGGCGGCTCACGTCCAATCTCAGATAGCCCAGGGGAGATGGTCCAAGGAGGATTTGAAACACAATATAAATTGGCTGAAACTCAGGGCAATTCACCTGGCATTGTGTCATTTCAGTCACAAGGTGAGAGACCAGCACGTTCTCATCCTCAAAGACAACATAGTGGCCAAAGCCCATGTGAACAGTCAAGGGGGCACCAGGTCGAGTTCTCTGATGACAGAAGCCAGACTGCTCTACTCTTGGGCAGAGGCCAATCTGTCTTCGATCAAGGCGGATCATATCTCGGGGGCAATCAACCAGCAGGCGAATGCTCTCAGCAGGGCAATGGTGGATCATTCAGAGTGGCAACTGTATCCAGCACTGTTCCTAGCAATATCTCACAGGGTGGGCCACCCGGTTCTGGATTTATTTGCCTCGGCAGCGAACTCCCAACTTCCAAGGTTTTTCTTCCGCTTTCCGTCACAGGGGTCGGAGGGAGTAGATCCTCTGCGCATCCCGTGGCCCCAGGGCCTTCTTTACACTTTTCCTCCGCTCTCTCTACTTCTGGCTGTCAAGAGAAGGCGGAGGTTGTCCTCATAGCCCCTCATTGGCCGAGGTGCCCGTGGTTCGTCGATCTCATGAGCCTGTCAGTATCAGTTCCATGGAAGATACCCCCGGGCCGAATAGCACTCAGTCAAGGGGCGCTCCGGCACCCCGACCTTCAGTGGCTACAGTTAACCGTATGGCGCTTGAGGGAGACGTCTGACTGAGGAAACTTATCCTCTGAGGGTCATTGATATGATCCAGGCATCTAGATGCCCATCAACTAATAGAGTTTATAACTCTACTTGGAAGAGTTTTGTATCTTGGATGTCCAAGCATCACATCCAGTTGTCATCTCTCATGATGCCTCAGGTTCTACAGTTTTTGCTGGATGGGATGGATAATGGTCTGTTTCCTAGTACTATCAGGAGACAGGTTGCGGCTCTGGCCACAGTTCTTTCTTGTGACGACTCTTCCTCACTTGCCCACCATCCGGTGATCCATTCTTTCATAAAAGGAGTGATTAATACTAGACTGCCAATGGTTCATCAGTACTCCTCTTGGGATCTTTCGATGGTTTTGCAGGCCCTTTACCAGGTCTCCTTTCAAACCACTTCGTTCTCAATCTCTTATCTATGAATGTGGCTTTTCTAGTGGCGGTGACCTTGGCCAGGCGCATATCTGAATTGGCAGCCCTCTCGGTCAGAGAGGATCTCTGCCTGTTTCGCCCCGATTGCGTGATCCTGCGTTTAGACCCCACTTTCATTTCTAAGGTGAACTCTTTGTTTCACCAGTCACAGGAGGTGGTGTTGCTGAGTTTCTGCCCTAGTCCTTCTTGTGACGTGGAATGCAGATGGCACACCTTGGATGTTTGCAGGGTGCTACGCATTTATCTTAAGAGAACCGCTTCTTTCCGTAGGTCTGAGGCACTTTTCCTCTCCTTCAGTCCTGCCTCTATGGGTCTCAAGGTCTCTTCTTCCACTATTGCCAGGTGGATTAAGGTTTGTATTGCCAGGGCATAACAGTCACAGTCTTTAGACATTCCTTCGCGTATCACGGCTCACTCTACTCATAGTGCGGCCACCTCTGTGGCCTGGGCTACTCTGGCGCCCATTGGCGACATCTGTAGGGCAGTGACCTGGTCGTCACCTTCCCCATTTATCCGTCACTATAAAATTGATAGATTTGCTTCTGCTGACACTACCTTTGGCCGTAGAGTATTACAAAGGGTTGTGTCATCTCCTGCATCACAGGCCATGTCTGTTACCCCCCCCCCAGGGACAGGCAGGCTTTGGTATGTCCCAATCCGTGGATTATCCATCCTCATGCTGGAGAAGAGGCGTTGTCTTACCTGAACGTCTTTTCTCAGCATGAGGATGGATAATCCACTCCCACCCTTTAGTGATTACTGGGCACTGTGACAGGAGTCTGGAAACCAACGCATCTGACTTTGTCTGTTTGCTTCGCCTTCATCGGAACTGGGTAAACATGACCCAGCAAGAGGCATGGCTATCTCTCAGACTTAGTCTAATTGGGTAGAAGGGACTTCAGGAAACCCAATCCATGGATTATCCATCATCATGCTGAGAAAAGGCATTCAGGTAAGACAACACTCCTTTTAATGTGCAAAAATCATATATTTATGCTTCGGAAAGTAATTGTCATATCCAGGTCTATATATCTAGAAAAGATATTGTTAAGAGGCATGTACAAAGGTCACTACTGTACTGAAAGGAGACTTTGTATATATAGAAACCCAGGGCTATTCAAAAACTCAATAGAACCTATGTATCTTTCTCCAGTTTTAAAACCAATTCCAGTTCAGACCTCTTTTACATATATTCAGCACATAGGCTGAATAAATAAGAGGAAAGTATATGACCTTAATCTACTCCTTTGCCAACCTGCAACCTCCCTCTTTCTTTCTCTCTCTCTCTCTCTCCCTCCCTCCCTCCCTCCCTCCCTCTCTCTCTCTTCCCTCACCTCAACAGGCTTGAGGAATATATAGGAGGCATTTCTTAAAATAATAAATGCTGGATAAAAATAGCACAGTTTTTTTAACCAAATATCTTCAATAGAACATTGTACAATAGATTGCCAACTAAGTTTCCCTTTGAATGGAAGAGAATATTGGGTGCACGCACACCCACACCCACAGAGAGAGACTATAAAGACCCTAGAGTTTGTCCTTTCTTAATACTTTAAAATAAGTAAATAAATAAGGGAAGGACTGTTATAAATCATTTGAGTCTTTTTTTAAAATATATTCCTTAAACTCTCATCCAATTTGAAATCCAACATTAAGCAATGTATTAACTTTAAAAAGTAAGTAATGATAAATGTATGGAATTATTATTGCATTTCAGCCAACCCACTGACACATCATATTAAGTGTACACAATGTATAAGTGAATGATAGTTTTACTGAAATAAGGGTCTCTGTGATTTTCCAACTATCCATCTGTTAAGTCATCCACTTTAGCAGAAAGCAACTTCGATGAGAAAAGAAAAAATCAAACATATACAGTAGATTAAATGCCTGTTGCAATCCCCTCTCAATATCCCAACTAATCCCAAAATAATTCCTAATATCTCCCGGGCTCCAAAAGAGTCTATTCCTTTCCCTTCCCACCTCTATTTGCATAATTCCATATCAAAGCAAATTAGCTACCAAGAGAGGGATAAGGAAATATAGCCAAGTTCTTATCAACTAATTGAACTGACCGGTCTTTAGGGTAACAAATATAATAATAAAATTTGGGGAGGCATGTTCTAGTTTTTAGTTAATCTGCAGCATCACAAAAAATAATTTGCAATTTCTTTTGAATGAACCAAGAAAATAAATTAAAACTACAGACCAAGACTTGTCAGTACTAAAGTGGTTTTCTGTAATGAAGGCCAAGAAAAATGTCAGAAGGTGTTATGTATTAAGCATGAGAAAGAAATTTTTACCCTTTGCCATTTGGGAGACTTCAGTAGAGGTGTAACACATAATTGTTTTACAGATTGTCATCGTGCTAATGTCAGAAGCCTCAACGATGAAACCTTATTTCCTTTTTTCTTTCTCTCAAACTCTATAAAATTAATTTATCAGCTATTTACCAATCTCTAAGAGTTTCATAGGAATAAAAGTATGTTTGTACTAAGTAGAAGTCAGAAAATAAGCATAAAGTCAAACCAAATCAAACACCATGCTCAAAATTCAACTTTTAACAATGCTAGACAATCCCATAACCATAGATTATGATCCAGCTCAAAAGCTTGTTGAAGACTATATATTTATTGATCATCTCCAAGGAACAGGTGAATCCAAATGTCCCATTCTGGGCTGCTGCATTCATACACCTGCACCCCAATGACAACTTCCCAGGATAAAGGAATCCATAACATCTATATCCAGATATACAAAAAAAAAAATGGGCAGAGAAAATAGCCTTGAATAACCTTGAGGCCAAGTTATGTAGGGTTTCATTATAGGTCAATACAGAGTCCTTCATTTACAACCACAATAGGGACCAACATTTTGGTTGTAAGTTATTATGGTCATAGGTTGAGGCAGCCACATGAGTGGATCCAATTTTTAAACTGTTTTTATAGTGATCCTTAAGGGAATCACGTGGTCATAAATCCGATTCATGTGGTCTGAGTTATTGTCATTAAGACCTGATTATTTTCTAGCTCAGTATCTGTTTAACAATATTATATTTGTTAAAGTAAGACTGACATTCTTCTTACCTATCCAAAACATTTTTTTTAAAAAAAAGTTACATCCAAGTTCTTCAGTAATGAAAAATAGTCTTATATTATTTATGCAATTATAAGATTTTTGAGGCAACAAATAAACAATTCCTTATAACTGAAACATGGATGCATTTGTGTCTATCTGTTTAGAATGGAATAATACAGAATCTGCTTACATCAGGTAGTTCTTTTTCATTGAAAATGTTGTCTCAGCTATTTATTTTTCAATCTATTACCTTTCTATAAAAAAATAGCAACTTATCAATTTTACAAAGTACCTTGAGATGCAACCGAGGAAAATATTGCAACAGCTGAATATGTAGTTATTCTACAAGACAGCTGTCCAAAGGCATTAATGTTCTCATACATTCATAACGAAATGAACAATTCCAGCTTCTAATAGAGAACCTGGATAAATCTAAAATAAAAAAGAGGTAGTTTAAAATAGTGGCTAAGGTGTCAAATTAGCATTCTGGAATCCCAGGATGAAGTCCACTCTGAGCTGTAGAAGTTCACTGGATGATTTTGAGCCAAATCACTCTCTGTCAGTCAATGTAGCTCATCGCTGATTTGGGGCAAGGATGAGAGAAGGAACTGTAACATTAAGCAGCCTGAACTGCTGGAGGAAAGGGAGGATTTAAATTAAGTAAATTAAAAGAAAGGAACACAAGTCATCTTTAGAATGTATTAATCTAGCTTTCTCTGGAAGATCTCATTTTCGCAATCTGAACATACATTAGTTATTTATATGGCTTAGTAAGGAACATATATGCTTTACTTGTTACTATAGATAATTATCACACACTAATATGCCACTACTTTACATGTTGCAATTAGAACTATCATGAAGATAAAAATTGCTTGACAATAAAGAAAAGTAAATTATAGATTGTTGTATAATAATCTCCAGAATTGATGCACCAACTAAGTATAAGTACTATTTCTGATAAAAAAGGAAACAGCATCACAACAAAAACAAAGGCTTAACAAAAATAATACTTATTTTATTAGTTAAGAC